TTTAAACTAATTATGTGGAAGAGATGACATTTTGTGCAATTATATCGATGAATGTGTCCAATTTATTGTTTCTAAGAATTATTATTATTGAAATCAGTTTCACTAATATCTCTTACGATGGAGTTATTTTGGCTTTTGAAATAGGTGCCAGTAGATAGGTAATAGGTAGGTACTAGGTACCAATATTAAAACAACATTATAGGTAGTTATAATTACACATTTTTTCGAAGGCTTAAGACGTTTTCTCTGAGTATTCAATTTAAAACTGTATGAATATCTTTCAGATGCCTGTTCACCAGTTCATTTGTCGCTATTCACTTCTGGTTTTAACCGGTCAGTGATCTGAAAACTTTGAACAGTATGGAGTACACGTGGACGCTGGTGTCTAACACTGACGATCAAGGTTTAGGCAGTGAAACAAGTCTGTTGAATTGTAATGTTCAAGGACCACACTCGGGTCAAATATTAATACTCTCAAACGAGTCCAGTGCTCAAGCCATACAAAATCAAACTTTACCCGATATCACTAGTCCTCTGGAAAAAGATTATGGGACAAATCGGATACACTCAAACGAGCCCAGGAAACTTCATCTTATGCATAGTAAGTGTATATTATTATTTATTAAATTCTGAATATTTTAATAAGTTCCCAAAGCTAATAAAAACCATTTTTTAAATAGTTTGTCTTATATTTAATTGATCATTTCAGYTTGACGATTAAATTTAGAATATTTATGCTTGGTAAATTTAATGAAAAATACAAACAAATAAGTAAATTAAAACTCAATACAAAATTAATATAATATATTATGATTTAATAATTTGGAAGCAAAACAGTAATTAATCATGAGTGTTAATTTTTAAATTAACTATAAACCAAAATATTAATTGTAAATACTTGTTCGTAGTTTTTAATCGAAAAGTATACAATTTATTTTATATGTACGTATTAATTTATACAAAAAGTAAGCATAATATAAAATATACGAAAATATATGTTTATACAATTTATTACCATTATTTTATTCATAACCAAAAAATTATATGATTCAATTTTTAAAAACCTTTATTAAATTTAAATAAAATTTGTCTATAGGTACCATAAAATTTTACCTATTTCACAACTATTAACTTTACATGCATTTTTGAGTTCTTAAGTTCTTTTACTACAGACATAATTTCTCATGTTTGTTAGTCTAATCAGAAATATGGTGGTAATAATGACTTACATCAATTGACCTAAGTCAGTTAGCGTAATATTATTTATTAACCTGATTAATACCGATAGCAATGATGATATTCTTAACAACGAAATTTTCAACGAAATTTTATATTTAAATAATTTACTAACCATAGATGTTTGCATGTAAATAAGAAAATTTTTAATTTTTATAAAAAATGTAAATGGGAAATATCGAATGCGTATTAATAAATAGTTAATATAGTATATATTAGTATATGTTAATATAGTTACATTTATTTATAAAAGTTAAAAGTTTTGATGAATTCGTGAAGCTACAACCCTCTACAATTTAACTACTTTACTTATCTTTAATAAAGTTTTAATGCAGTAATCCAATGTTAGAATGAAGGAGACTTGAATTAATATTCAATTCAGTGTTTCCAGGTCGGAAATACTTTTATTATTTTTAAAATAAAACACTGACAAATTCGAATTGCCTAGTTAGCCCATACTATACTATACTATCGCCGAATCACTCGTACAATCGTCGTACCTACGTCCTCGCCGAATCGATCAGCGATAATAACGGCACTACCCGCTCCTGTGAGTCTGGTGGCGTTTAAAAAAAAAATTAATGTCGCCTCAGCATAACATTCACTGACC